GAATACGAACATGTTCTTGCATGAGGCCTATCGATCTTATAAATAAATGTAAAAACCTCCTCTAAGCTTGTTTGGGATAATTTGTCACATTAATTTAATTATCTGAGTTATAACTGAATTTAAAAACAGGACAAATGCAACTAATTTAATGAAGAATCTGTCTCCAGTCATTAAATCAGGTGTTTATTTATGTAGGTAAAAGTATCTTTAACAACCTGTTAAAGTACATTAGAAATCAGGAAGTAGCTTCTAATTTATTCAAAATTTTCTGGGGGACGACCCCCAGACCCCCCCTCCAGTGTGTCCTTTACTGTTCATTAAGTGAGAGGATAAACCAACACACCTGTGCTCCACCTGTGTCTCTGTATGAAACTATGGTTGATTGTCAAACTGTATTCTTAGTGATACAGTGCACGGTTGAATGATGGTGAACATAATATCAGTTAATATGGTTTGAGTATAATTGCATCACAAAAGAGACATTTGGTGTTCAGTTATTGACGGGTGCAGACAGTTAAACTGAGCACACACTGAAGACATGAACAACAGAAAAACCTGGTCGCACAACTGTGGGTGCGTCAGACCCCGTCCCCCCACGTTGCATCCCCACCAACTTTCAGCACAAAGTTATGCCCTTGAAGAAGAGGACAAAATTCAGTGAGCTGATTAGTGACATGGGTGTTTTGAATTAGTAACCTTTTTATTAGTAGACATATACCTGTTTTGGATTTCTTTAGTCCCATATTACAGCATTACCATAAGATAAAAAAATATGATTTCTATGGGTSTTTTTGAATATTTCTTTGGACTTTGGTTGTAAATACAAAGTATGCTACATTTGCTTTTATTGAGAGGAAACTAAGTATCTAATGGGAACTCAGCAAAAGCTTACAACAGCTACAGAATGGGACTAAGTTTGCAAATTTTTTTTTTATTGAAGGACAAGAAAGAACCCTATTCATTATTTCTTGTTCATCTGCTGTGCTTGTGACAACATGAGGGTGCTGTGAGGATAGAAGAACGATGCAACACACGCACTGCAGCACGTTCACTGAGTTTAATGAGACCACTTTAACAACAAACTGGTCGATGAAGAACAGATACCAAATCGTGTTCACAGTAAAGGCCAAGATAAAATCCTTTCAGGCTGTTGTAGCTCTTTCATGGAAAGAATAACAGACGTTATGTAACACATCTTCTCTMATAAACAATACTGAAGGTTTGATGTCACGACAATAAAGCTGCTTGTACTCACATACTGCAATAGGCAGGAGACTTTAACAATGGTCCCTGCTTACGTAGTTGCATAATGTCTGAGGTGATTTAAGAAATAAAGATTTCAGTGTTTGCAAAGAAAAACAATTCTGTTAATACCATGACTGATTGTCCTTTCAAAGTAAAAGGTAAAACTGATAAAAGATGCTACAACAAAAAGTGTTATATCATGCACTGAAACTCATAAAAAATAAATTCATTTCATAAATTAGGATCACCTTAAAGGCAGCTATAGGTATTGTGCTTTTCTACAGACTAATCCAGCTAAGTCAATAGGTTTCACTGTGCTTTAAAAGAACATAAAATGCTAATATTGATGTGATTGATTTCTTGCAAACAGCACCAAAAACCTTGCTCACAGATATAAAAAGGTAAAGAAATGCATTTCTGTGCCGATTGAGGAAGTTTGAAGTAAGATAAAAAGATTCGCATTAAATGTTTGGCACACGTTTGTGTAACTTGCTTTTTTGGAGTACGCTCAGCACTCCTGAACGGATATCATACGTTTTTAAATGGTCTAAAATAAAAACAAGTTGTGCTACTAACGTCATATAATTACATTGTCTAAAATACACTCACTTAATGCTAACCTGCCTGAATAAATAACAGTATTTCTCCAAAATGTACATATTTAGTTGTATGATAAAAGTGCTCCTATCTCCGTTTTGTCCTTAAGACTAATCGWGGCAGATTGATCAACTCTCTGCTATGTAGGAAAAAAAGTGCTTCGAGAATTTACAACAGTGCATCTCACGCTCGTAACTACAACTGCACAAATCGCTGCTACATTTCAGTCAGTCGGAAGAAGCTCGGCAGGTTSGATCAGCTGCTGGAGCTGGGAATCTGAGGAGGCGTCGCTTCCCGGTCGTCCACCCGGGGGAACTGCTCCCTCCAGTAGGTGAAGTGGCTGTAGGTGTTCGAGCAGGGGAAGTCCGAKGAGGAGGATCGGTCTTTGAGGGGAAACACGTGGTCCACCACCTCGCCCAGACGGACGTATCTAAAGAAGAGAGGAGGAAGAGGATGTTGCACTGAGACGTACCACATCCACTGAATTCGTTCGTACCGTTAAAATATTCAAGTAATAGGAAACTCACGAAGAGATGTTGGTCTTGGCGTGCTCCTGCACCAGTTCTCCTTTGGGGTTGACCGTAAAAATCCTGTTTAGTGGCACTCCGACTTCTTTATATGAAAAAACGTCCTGTCAAAAACGTGTTTACACGGGTTAACTGAAGGTCTTTTCTTAAGTGTTTATCCCTCAAATTAGTTACACACTGAAACGATGCGAGCTCGTACCGTCGGTCTGTTGCCAAACGCTGCGTAGAACGGCTGTGCGTTCGGGTAGAAGAGGTGCTTGATGTCTGTGAGGCACTCCACTTTAAACTTCTCCGGCTTCTTCTCGATCACCTCCCTGTGGAACACAGAAACATGAAATCGGTGCGACCGTAGGTTCTCCTTTCAGAACGTAGTGTTTATAAAACACAGTGTTCTGTGTGGATTGGACGTACCTATGCAGAGCTGAGAAAAGGCTGCTCGGGCTCAGGAGGACGGGGCCCATCGGCAGCATGGTGCCTCTCTCGTTGACCCAGTTGAGGTAGCCTCTGGTCATATCAGCCATGCCGATCGCTCGAGCTGAACAGTACAGGAACTTGTAGCCGTTTCTGACAGAGAAGGAGAGAGATTAATCCACAAAGTACACCACCATGGCTGATTTTGTTTCATTTTTATACTTGTTTGGAAACATGTCTGAAGCTGCCGGATTGTTCAGGGCATTTTTTTWTWTATTTTAAAACCTTTCCCAACAGTGGGCTGGGAGGAAGTAAAGTTATCTGTAAGTGCTGCAAAGCTACACKGTCTCACTACCAGACCAGTTTRAGCCTGAAATATCACTTCAGTTTAAAACTAGGGTAAACAAACAGAGGGAGGTTCTGTTGACCAGCGTGTGGGAGAAAAAGGAAAAAGTAAGACTGGCTTGATTTGCCTTATTTGTTTAAAGTTTTTGAAAATGCATTGCCCCCTTTTTTAAAATAAAACAGTACCTAAAATGCTCTAAACATATTTCAGTCAGTTAAGTTTTGTGCAGAATAATGAAATTAAATCAAGAATTCAAGAACTTTTTTGTCATTCTAAATTAGTAATATGAGGAATGAAAGATAGATGAAGCCCCAGTTGTCAGGGAAAAAAATACAATAAGCAAAAAGAAGTTAAAATGAAAAAGAAAAGAAAAACTGTACACATGTATTGCAACATACAAATGTACACATTCAGCCATAGTAAAGTGATCGTTTCTAAAAAAAAAAATTAGATTAATCGCGATTAAAAATTTTAATCTATGCCCAGCACTAATCTTTTTAATATGAATATTAATATAAGTCAAATTGAGAGAGAGAGAGAGTGAGAGAGAGGAAGGTGCTAGTCGCACCAAATTTGAAGTCAATAAAACAGGGTTCCTACAGTTTAAGGAAAGTTAAATTTAAGACTTTTTAAGACTTTTCAATGCTAAGTGAAATCAAATTTAAGACCAATTTCACAACTAACACAAATGAAAAAAAAAGAAATTAAAATTGTGGCAGAAACTCCATATCTAACTGCTATTTTGTCAAATATAGCTAAAAAACCCTTCTTAGCAGTCAGTTTTAAGCTTAATTTAATTCCTGAAAATCCTCTAACGACCCAAAATTTGGAGTTTTAGGACCCACAGTGGGTTCTCAATTTGCTTCCTGTGATGTAAAATGTTTGTACGAAATATGAATGCATTTTTGGAAAGACAACATTATTAACATATTACAAAACAAATTTCTCATTGCTCAGATGGACAGTTGTTGGGATATTTGCATGTGAAATAACAGGAAGTGGTGTCAAAAGGGAATGTTTAAATGTGAATATTTCAAAATAAATAAATGTTACCAATTATTTTAATATTTGATACGAATTTGCAGCACCCTATTTACAATGTGTTAACATTTTTAAGACTTCTGAAAGATTGATTTAAGACATTTGAAGGCTAATTAAGGCCTTATTTTTGGATTGATGGATTCAAGGCCTTTTAAGACTTTTTAAGGATCCGCAGGAACCCTGTAAATGATATTTACACATTCACAATAATTTTAATATTACCATTACTTTATCTTTTAACTTGCTTCACAAGACAAGTCAATTCGACCAATCTCTGTTTTGCCAAATTCTGACCACACTCAAGAACTTCGCCAATTACGGTTAGGACAAACTCCACTAACACAACCAAGAAACTCCCCTTATGTATTGCAGAGACCMCTAATTGTGGTTTTTAAAGAGTAACTTACCCCAAAATTAACTTTTTTAGCTGATAAACTGTCTAGAATGTGTCTAAAATGTTACATAGTACTGTTTCTGTGCTAATTTTGATGTTTTTGTGTGTATTTGTTCAAATCTGTAATATTTGGTCTAAAAATGTGTTTTTGCTGCTCATATGGGTAGAGCAGTGGTACTGCAGGCTAATTTGCATATTGGTTAATGGCTCTCCCCTGTGATG